ACAAATATTTAAGTAAATTCTCTGTTTATACTAAACAGTATTAACAACATTTACCGGCCTGAATGTCCGAGAAATTGTCATAGAAAATATGCGTCCTCCGACAGGAATCGAACCTATATCCGATACGGAACCGTCATATAGCCTGACGTGCCTTTACCGATTTCGCCACAGAGGAGCGTTCGGTTAGCAAGGTCGAGTATACTGTTTTTAAACTAATATCTTCCATGATTCTCACACGTACATTCATATCTGCTCGATGCGTATCCAAATGTAAACAAATGACGTCACACATTATGAAATGGAGAAAGTATATATATATATATATATATATATATATATATATATATATATATATATATATAAAAGTTATTGGTCTGAGTTGAATTAGACCAGGAATCAGTACTATTAAAAAGAGCTCAATACACGTAGAAAGAAAAAAAATTAACATGCAACGCCTTTTAAATTTAAAGAAAAAATAGATTAGCCGATCACATTACCTTGATTTCAGCCTTTCGGTATCTTCAGTCGATTCGGGCTAAATAATTTCCTGACGCTTTCTTATTTAAAAAATAATTAGACGCATAACGCGAAGCGTTACAGTAGGGAAGGAGAAAAGCAAGGGTATTGAAATTGTATCGAAGCGGGGTTATATGAAATGAACATACTTTCATCCTGGTCCGTATGAACTCAAAAGGGACTTTTTAGCGTGTATGCCTTGTGTCATTATTTCTGTCCCCATTCAGATGATTTTTCTGGTCTGGAAATGTTATTATTGTTAACTTTTCTTCTTGGCAAAGATTGCAGATAACACAATAGTTGTGCAAAGTTTACCTTTTTTTTAATATTTCCCAGTTTACAATCGGATCTTTGTTTTTTCTTCTAATTTTCACACAGGCTGGTGGAATATATATATATATGGAAAATATACAGATAAAATGTATTGTTGGTCATTTTGCTTTAAATATGTATTGTTGGAAATTTTACTATAAATAGTTTTCTGACTCAACGAACTTGTCACTTTCGTAATGCTCGTTGTAGTAGAGACTTTGTAATCGCAGACACCTTCGAATAGCACCCGCACTAATAGTACTTGCTCGATAATACTCGCTCGAATAGTAATCAGTATAGTGATCCCTAACAGAGAAATAATATAGTAAATAGATTAGAGAATAGCGGTCCGTATAGTATAGAGGATAGAGTAGAAATAACGATCCGAATAGTAATAGAAGATAGAACAGAAATAACGATCAATTAGACGTCACGTGACTTCCTACTTGTGCGTTTACTCTATGGCCACCTGGTTTTTAAATTCAATAATAGGAACTTGTCAAGACACTTTATTCCTTATAACCTTGATTTTGTTTGGTGATTTATCAGCCACTATGGGTTATTTAAGGCCGAAATCTGAATATTTTGAACACAAGGGTTGATCCAAACCTTGTGAGTGAAATTGGGTAGACGAAACTATTTTAGGTTACTGGCCTTGTTTAACCACTGATCTCGCTATATGATGCCCTCCCTGGCATAAAATATGACTACGGTCTGCTAAAAATAGCTGCAGTATAAACCAGACATTGACTCTTTGTGTGTTGAAGAAAGGCAAATGTACCTGGGTAAATGCTTGCAACGGTATAATGACATACACTAACCAAATTTGCGTTGATCTGTACAAAATTACCTAGTAATGTAATTGTCTTTATAAATTTGTTAATTTTCCACGAAGATTCATTGAATAGATTTCTATCGCCCGGTTCACACTCTTCCCCAGGTTTTTGAACAACAGTAGAGGTTTATCCCTTGTTTCCTGTTTTAGGATTGGTTCTTTCTAAACTTTTTCCATTCTCTTTCACTCCAAGCAATCTTAGCGGCGTTATCGCCTTGTTTGGGCGTGAAATGATAAAAAAAAAGTTTTGTCATTTATTTCCATTGGACAATCGAATAATGCACGAAAAAGTTTTTGAAATATTTCCACTGGCCACGCTCAACGGCCTACGGGCCGTAGATTATTTACCACTGTCTGGGACTGCCATGTTTGATGTTATGTTTTTGTCAAGAGACCGACAAATAATTTGTAGAGGGTTATGTCGATATATTAAAAATTAGAAGGAGATTCGTGGCTCTTAAAATTTCTGTTTAAATTCTTGCAGTTTATTCCTTTAATTGCCGACCGAACGCGTTTAACATTTTCAGGTGGTCTGTTTGTTGGTGACTTTCAAGAACTTTGATCGATTTCTACTGATTCCTAGCCAAGTTTGAACCGTTGCTACCAAAGTTTTATCTGGGCTTCTTTTACTGAGTATCTTTCGAAGGTCTTCTTACATATTCAAAGTTTATTAGAATGAGTTTTAAGCAAAACTTGATGCATAGTCTCTGTTAATGCGACAGTTAATACAAAAGTTCCATTACCATATCTTGCGTAATATTAGAGAAATCTTGTAAGTGCACTTTCTTTTTTCTTGAGTATAAGTACGCTTTTAGATTTGTACTTCTTAAAGTTATAATTTTATTTTGATTTGCTAAATATCATGGCTGAAGATAAAATACACATTCAGTATTGTTTTAATCGGGAAAATGTAGTGGAAGGGGACAAATGGCTCACTAGAGTTTATGTTAATAATGTAGTAGGTGTAACCCTTTTATAGAATGCTTAACAAACGAGAATTTTAATTTCAATAACAAAGAATACTCTGGAAGGCCCTCCGGAAGTTAAAAATTGATGAATGCAAGAAACTTTCGCCGTAAGACGAAGACAAAGCAACACATGGATTGACAGAAAAATATTTAATATAAATTCAACTCATTTGAATGAGATATTAGGAGAGAGTCAACCTTGAACTTAATTTTTAAATTTATTTGAAATTACTTTTTTCAAATTACTTTTTTCCTTTTTCTTTGTTTTGTTTTTCTTTATTTCATCTTTGACTTTTATAAAAATGTGATGAAAATAACTGACTTGAAACATCTGAACATAGAATATATAAGTTGTAATATATGAAAAACAGAGTATAATAAATGTGTGTGTGTTACCGTATATATATATATATATATATATATATATATCAAGACAGGTTTCGTTCAATAATTTAGACATGTTCTGTCTAGTTATTCTCGATAGGATCCTTTCATATTCGCGGATAAGTTTTTGCGCGGTTATTAAAAGACGAGAGGAAAACACTATGTTGGCTCATGTTGTATTTATTCCGAATACTTTCGACATAGCATAATGTCGTCATCAGGGTATTGTTAATTATAGAGAAAGTATTTTAGTGTTCATGATTGTGAAGGACAACAATTGTTATGGTCGTCCGAAAATGACCATTTTTATATATGGAGTCAGCAACGCTGTGTCATGGCTTGGGGTGACGGACAGCGCTTAAGGGGAGGTAACTAGGTATGCTGTGGAAAAATTTCGGGCTTGAGTAGTTTCTAGATAAAGGAAAAACTATTAATGTCAAGCGCTAACATTTAAAAATTATCTATTGTCCACATTTTAAAATATTTGTGTATTATTCGTAATTAATTTTATTGAGGTTTGGTTTCAATTTTTTTATATAAATAGCTTCGAGAATTTTTAGTCGGTGTTTATTCTTTTCGTGGAAATGTATGGAGGTATTTTCGATGAGGATTTTTATGAATGGCGAGTGTGTACAGATATGTTGTAAATGTTTAGAAATATTGGACGTGTTATTCAGGTGAAGACTTAGCCTACGTGAAAGCTATGTTGTCGTATGTCCAACATAGATATTTTCATCGTTGGAGATGCAATCTCTCCGAGTACATTTTAATTTAAAAACGATGTTGGTTCTCAGCAACATGCAAGTGGCTGGGGAAGAATTATTACGAATGATTTTATTAGATATAGTGGATTTAGTGTATTACATAATAAGTTTTTTTTTGTTTTTTTGTTTTTTTTTTTTACTAGGGTCTGTGGTGGATGTATTAGTTTTTATTAAGTTTTTTAGGATATTTTCGTCATGTTTATAATTAGCATGCATCTGGTTACGATATAAAAGGAAGATATGCTTGAAGTTAGTTGGAGGGGTATTATGTTCTATATTTATATAAAATAATTCTGTCTGTCTGTCTGTCTCTCTCTCTCTCTTTCTCTCTCTCTCTCTCTCTCTCTATATATATATATATATATATATATATGTACTGATATATATAAATATATCTGTATGAAAACAGATTGATATATATATATATATTTTTCATTTTTTTTTATATATATATATATATATATATATATATATATATATATATATATATTGTATGTGTGTTTGTGCACATTTCTGTTTCTGGATATATGACAATAAAACAATAACCTTCTTTTATTCTGCTTATACACACACACACACATATTTATATATATATATATATATATATATATATATATATATATATATATATATATTATTTGCATCTACCGGCCTGATTATTCGGAAAATCTTGTTAGAAATATATGCGGCTTTCAGGATATTCAGGTCGGTAGATGTAAATAAATAAATAAAGAAATATACTGTTTAATAATAAAAACAGATAATCTATCCAAATATGAGCATCCATTAAAAATAACATTTAAACAAATAAATTAAAAATATGTCTCCATATATATATATATATATATATATATATATATATATATATATATATATATATATATATATATATATATATATATATATATAAGTATATGTATATGCAAAATAGATAGAGCGTGTGAGATAGAGATACAGAAATTCAAGTGTATATGATTTGTTCTCATTAGTCTTTGTTATGGATGGAAAAGGAGATGCTTATAAAAACGCTCCTCTTCGAGTTTCTGTTTGGTCAGTAATTGAATCCACGATGCTGACTCGAACTCGCGACCACACCGGGCGCATGTCAAAATCGCAAGCGACCAGAGAGAAGCTCATCAAGGCCGTTGGCACATAACATCGACGCGTCCAGGCGTGTTTCTCTGTCATTCGCTCACTTTTTACACTTACTTGTACCATCAGGGTGGCCGTCCAAATTTCGGCATTTACCCAACTTAACCAGACAAGCCACAAATTCCGGAATCGTGTTGTTATTGTTGATGTTATTTTCTTCTTCTTCTTCTTCTTCTTCTTCTTCTTCTTCTTTATAAAATCTATTCTTTTTATTCAAATATTTACCCTCTTCTTCGTATTTTCTCTCTTACGCTATCACTCTCTCTTTCACGCTCTCTGTTTCTTTCTCTCGCCATCCACACTCTCATTCCTTACAAAATCTATCTGTTACTTATTTTCATTGTAACATCTTTCCTGCTTTTCAGTTGAATCCTTTCCTCTATTTTTACTTATTTTCTCTTTACTTTATCTAAAACAACATAACTACCTTTTCAAACTTTATCTTTTTCAGCCATTTCCTTCTTTTCTTTTTCTACGTATTTTTTCTTATTCTTTTTTCTTCTTTTCCGTTTCCTTTTCTCATTCTTTGTCAACTTTTTACTCTTTTTCTCATACTTTTTCTTCTTTTTCAGCCTTTTCCTTCTTTTTCCTCGTCTTTTTTCTCATTCTTTTTCTTCTTTTTCAGCCATTTCCTTCTTTTTCCTCGTCTTTTTTCTTATTCTTTTTCTTCTTTTTTGGCCTTTTCTTTCTTTTTCCTTGTCTTTCTTTTTCAGATTTTTAATCCCTTTTCTCATTCTTTTTCTTCTTTTTCAGTCTTTTCCTTCGTTTTTCTCTTTTCTTTTCTTGTTCTTTTTCTTCATTAAATTTCAAAATGAGAACATTTGTAAAACAATGGATGGAGGGAATTTTAAATTTTAATTTACTTTTTTGTATATTATCGGCATATATATATATATATATATATATATATATATATATATAAGTGAATATTAAATCAACACTCAGAGGCGACAGGCTGTTTCATGCTAGACGGAATCGTCGGCCTGACAATTGCGTCTAGCATGAAACAACCTGTCGCCTATGAGTGTTGATTTCAATGTTCACACCTATTTATTTTTACATACGCTCTATCTCTGATATCACTTGATCCCATAAACATAGCTCACCTTAAAACTATCTTTCTTCATATATATATATATATATATATATATATATATATATATACAACCGATTTCATTTAGACTCTTTTTTTCTTGTTTCCATCAAGAAAATAATCTAAATGAAAGATTCTTGATTCTATACGAAAACAATATTTAATTTTAAATTCCCAGCATCCCTCATTCGTGCGCATGTGTAGTCGCACCAACATAACAAATTTAGTCTGATGCCGTCCTAAACGACAAAACGTGCACATGAGAACCTTTTACACTCTGTCATACATACATTTTCTCACCCAATATTGTTCTTGATATATAAAATTACATATCGCTATCTCATTTTATATATATATATATATATATATATATATATATATATATATATATATATATATTATGGAAGTCGTTTTTGAACAAATTTAATAGAGGAAAACTTCAAAGTAAAGATTAATGCTGGGAATAGGACAGTGGGCTCGTAAACGGTTATTTGGCATTTTTGCAACATTTTCGAAGTGATATGTGTCTGTAAGGCGTTTGTTAGATCCATTGACAGGACTGAAAGAGTGTTAGTTCAATTCCCGGTTAAGGCAGTGGAGAACTTGGACAGAGGAATTAACAGGAGGTAACTAATAACTGACATCCATGGCACATGGAACTAGAACAGTCTACCCCAGTGAGCGAAATAAAGGGTTCAGTTCGACATTCCAACCACCTGAAGAAGGCCGGAGCGTACAACGGCCGAAACGTTGTAATAAATATGGCGACAAAGATTTGGACAATAGTCTGAATAATGTAAATAGTGTAGTCTAACTTTGTCCGAAAAAAGAATTAATATCAGAACTTTGTCCGAAAGAAAAAACATGTACTGGTTTAATCATTTATTTTTTGTTGATCAGTTCGTGATAGTTGCGTTTTTGCCTCTTTATTTCTGGTAAAATCATTGGAATTTTGTTGAAAACTGTGTCATAAGTCGCATACAGTCAAAAATGACCTACATCAAGTGGATTTGGAAACCATGTAACATAGAATTCAGTCAAATTGACACAATTTTCTTTCCATTATTTTGTGACTTTCACACACCAATAACGGAATAATTAATGAAGCCTTGCCGTTAATCTAGTACAGCGCTTAAATTTCTAAACTCTAGGTTCTAGACTTTATCCGAAAAAATTACTATGAAATTATATATAGAAAAGTGGGAAAGTAAGAGAAGCCGAGATGCCAGGTCACGACCAATAATATTGATTATTCATTTTTTTAATTTTGTCTAGAATCTCTAAATATACAGCAGGGGCGCTGGACCATACATGGCAGCAATATTCAAAGCATGGATGAGTGGTTGACTTATAAATATATAAGTTAGATTCAGGAGAGAAAAGTATCTGGCACAACACAGTGAACCAACTTCTTTTCACTTTAGCCGAGAATGTTAAGCCGAGAAGGCACTCCCATGATGGTTAGTATCAGCCATGCTGAGGGAAGGCAGGACGGGGTCTTTCAGATGATTAATAGAGAGAATTTTCGTTTTGGAACGTTAAAATTGACAGGTCATTCCTTGCCCCAGTTAACAGTAGAGTGTACGTCTTTTGAGATCTGCTGCCAATTTGACCTTATTGAACCAATCAGACTTACTATTAAGACAGGTTTAAATAGTTGTTTCATCTGCATAAATACCAAGTTGAGAACTGGTGTCATCAGGAATGTTGTTGATGAAAATTAAGAACAAATTAAGCCCAAAGATATAAAAACACCTGGGAAACACCTGCATGAATACAACAAGATCTAGAAGAGTGGCCGTTCAAGATAACATTCATTTCGCAATTTGATAAGAAAGACTGAATCAGTTCAAAAAGTTTGTATCCGTTAACAATAACAGATTTAAAAAAAAAAAAACATATTTCGATTCGCATTATATTTTTTCGTCTCGGATGCTACCTAATTTTACCAAAAACAAAATAATTTCCATGCCTGAAGATGACTGAATGTACAGTCGAAAGTACTTGCGTATTAAAGAAAGACCTTATACAGCTTATAATTTTTAAAAAACAAGGATCATAACATTCATCGAGTGATTTGTAGGTTAATGCACCTTTAAAAATTCTGTTAGCTATGGGATTTCACCATTTTATATCATTAACTTTACTAATCTACTTTTGTATGAATGATTCATTGTAATATATATATATATAATTATTTTTTATAAAAAAAAATTTATAACATAGATATGTTATAAAAATCACTACAAAAATAGCCATTTTGTTTCAACACCCTCGATGTCTTATCAAGTGATCATGTTGAAGATAAAATAAATGGTTTTAAATGTTACAAATTAAGTTATTGGAATTCAAATATAATTGTATATATATATATATATATATATATATATATATATATATATATATATATATATATATATATATATATATATATATATATATATATATATATATATATACACACACACACATATATATATATAAATATATATATATATATAGGGTAATAATAAAGTCACTATACTACAGTTACTTATAATAAAAAGACAAAGGGTTGAAACTTACAATTCAAACAGTATCGATAATTAATTTACTATTGTTTACCATAGGATTTATTAATAACTAGAATTAACCAGAACCATATTAATAATAAATTTCTTAACTGTTGATTAACTGCTTTGTCTTAATTGTTATTGTAAGTAACTGTATAGTGATTTTATTGCCATTATGTATATTAATATTATATATATATATATATATATATATATATATATATATATATATATATATATATATATATATATATATATATATATCCAGGTAAGATGAGAACGAATAGAGTACAATTCCAAGGTTCGTAACATTTAATTTAAAAAGGGCCCAATACAAAGTTGAGCAATATTATTTATTTTAGAATATTACACAGTAATCATGTTAAAATTGCTACAATTACAGTCGTGTTTCTGTGCGTATCAATGCTTCTCATCAGGTGATTGTAAATTACTGACGAGCGGAACTATCTTTGAGCATCCGCTAGTAATTTAAAATCGCCTGATGAGATGCATTGATACGCATCGAAACACGACTGCACTTGTGTAACGATTTTGACATGTTTTTCGATATATCCCAAGATATATATATATATTTCTACATACCGGCACACACACACACACACATATATATATATATATATATATATATATATATATATATATATATATATTATCAAATGGACAAAAGTCCGACAATTATTTTAAGACATTTTTATGTTTATACATTCTTTTTATAGATACAAATATTTAAGTAAATTCTCTCTGTTTATAATAAACAGTATTCAACAACATTTACCGGCCTGAATGTCCAAGAAATTTTCATAGAAAATATTCGTTCTCCGACAGGAGTCGAACCTGTATCCTATACGGAAACGTCATATAGAATGATGTGCCTTTTAACCGATTTGATCACAGAGGAGCGTTTGTTTAGTAAGGTCGAATTTACTGCCTTTAAACTTCAATCTTCCATGAATCTCTCACGTACATTCATATCTGCTCAAAGCGTATCCAAATGTAAACAAATGACGTCACGCATTATGAAATGGACAAAGTCCGACAATTATTTCATAAAGTGTGACGTCATTTGTTTACATTAGGATTTTTTTACCTTTCTTTTATTGAATTTTTATAATTTTTTTAATAAGACATGGTACATCATGATCAAAATTTTCATTAAACAGTGAAAGGATTCTGTTTCGTTCTGTTTTTGTTCAAGTGTTCTTGATGATCTTAGACATTATCAAGAACTGGTTGTGTGATAGAGAAGATTTTGTTGGCTACGTTCTGACATTTCTTGAGGGGATAAGATTCAAATGTACCCAATTTGACACCATGTATGTATGTACGTACGTATTTTTTGTATGTTGGAGGATTTCATACGCCATGGATTATTGTCTAAGATATATGAATAATTATCCTTTTGAAGTGTGGACCCAATATCTTCTCAATCAGCACAGAAAGAAAAATATATATAAAGAGGAAAATAATAGAATTTAAAAAAAAAAAAGACCCAAACTCCGATGCATTAAAGAAACAAAAAAGTAAAACTAAATTCTCCTCCTATCACGAAGCTTTTTCCTCCATTCTTTCCTCATAATGCGTACACCGTATCCCTCACTCCTCATTAACCACTCGCTGAACACTTGTCGCCCTTAAAGCACGTTTATCTACGATTCACATCTACTCTTTATATTCTCAATCTGTGATTTTCGGCAGGCGAAAACGGCTATCAGAAAGTCTTCAGAAAATACTTTACCTTCTTCAAAGATGGTTCCGCTCCATTGTGAAACGTTAGTAGAGGAGGGTCGATGAAACGAACCGTGCATTCAACTTCCGACGGACACAATGCACCGAGAACCCATCATACATCCCTGAATTGACTGCCTCCTCGGCATTAATCTGATCCCTTTTTTTTTACTTTTTTTCCCCCTGGAAGTAAATGCCATATACGATGGAATGCACACTGTATTTTGTTGACATTACATTTTCCACTGACTTGAAGTGGAGTGACTACATTAATAACTGCATCTACTGCAAGGAAATTTGGATCACTGTGTCGTGCCTAAAAATGTTTCTTGTCTGAATCCTTCTTTGCACATTTACAATTCGTCTGTGCATTGAATACTGTTGCCATATCTGGTCTGGTGCTTCTTCTATT